AAAGGTGGTGGAGGTGGAGGGGTGGTGGTCAGGGGCTGTCAAGTCAATTCCAGCTCCCAACAGACCACAGGAGCACACAGCACTGCCCCATGGGGTTCTGCGGGGTCAGACTCCCTGGGAGTGACTGCGGGGTCAGACTCCCTAGGAACCACTGTGAGGCTCTCCATGTGACCTCCCCGGTGTCCGGCAAGTGTGTCAGGGTTTGCACCACCCACCCGGACGAGCTCCGGCACAGTGACACATGCAGGCCCTGCTCTCAGGGAGGAGATTCTTGGAAATGCGCAGGAGAGGCGAAAGGAGTCAGGGGTGAGTCTATGGGCACCTGTAACAATGGCAGCACCCCTGAAAGGCCCGGCGGGCTGGAGCCCTGGTGGCGAGCGGGTAGGCTAACTGGAAAGCCAGAGGTTGGCACCCGCCGCCACAAGTCCCTGGCGGTGTTCATGGTTCCTGCTGCCCAGTGTAAGGCAGGCCTAGCAACCTGCCCTGTCCAGGTGGCCAGCAAGGAGACCCTCCATAGCAGTTTACCCTGTGACACGTGGGGCCCGTGATTTGGGGGGCCTGGATGGCCACGGGTTTGGCTTGGGATTTAAGATCCAGCCCCTTGGAAACACCGCTGACATCCAGTTGATGGGGACTGATGGGGACTCACAGGGACTCTGCAGTGACCGTGGCTCTTGACGGGAGTAGAGAGCCCCGTCTTTCTCCCACGGAGAGGCTGGTGGCTTTGGACTGCTGGCCCTGTGGTTAGCAGCCCAGCGTTTAACCAGGCTCTGCCAGGCTCCTCCTCTAGCCCCTTGGGAGGGAGGAAAAGGATGGCAGACACACCTGTGTCCATCCACCTGTGGAAGAGGATTCCAAGCAGTATTCCAAATAGTGTCTGGGATTTCCGGTAGCAGACCCGTCTGGGCACCTGAGTAGGGAAAAGGGACCCCCCTGCCTCCCACAGGTCCTCCCAGGTGACTGGCCAGCACCGGTCCAGTGAGAGCGAGCCCGGCCCTCTTGGTTTCCCGTCACTTCCCCGACAGCCCCGACCGTTCCTCGCTAATGCCATCAAGGGACAATACCGGCGGTGGCAGGTTTGGGCTGGAAAAACCAAACCAAACTCCCCGCCTTGGAGCCGGCTCTGAGTCCCAAGCGCCGAGCAGGGGAGAACTTCCCTGTAGGTTCCCCAGACTGTAACTCTTCACTGGTGTAGAAAGTCTGCCTCTCTCCCCAGTTGGCTGCTGGATTTGAACTTCTGCCCTTTCAGATCACAGCACGACTCGCCGCCACGACGCCACAGCAGGCGGAAACAAAGACTCACTTCTCGGTCCCTTCCTGCAGGGGCGTGTGCTGTGCACCGCCGTGACCGGGGAGGGACTGGGGACCCAGGCTGCTGGATGGGTGGTCCCTAGCTGGCTTTCTCAGTGGAAGAACTCCACACCAGAGTCCACCCATAGGACTGGGGGACTCCGGGGCCAACTCTCACCTTCCGCCAGTTTGAGTGTAGTCAATGCCTTTCAAGTGCAGCTACCGCCCTGTCAGTGGAGGCTTGGTGCTACGGTGATGCCGAAAGTCTCCGTCAAATGTCTAGACGGGGCCCGGGTGGTGTCCTGGTTAAGCATCAGGCTGTGGTCCATCTGGTCGGCAGTTCAAAACCACCAGCAGCTCTGAGGGACAAAGCCTGGGCCTTCTACTCCTGTCCACAGTGACGGTCTCCGGTCGTTCTGGATGGCAGTGAGAGTCCAGACTAAGCCTTGGAAGGGAGACCTGGAGACCAGGAAACCCTGTGGGCACAGGGGTCTGGCCTGCAGCTGGTCATGGGAATCACACAGGGCTGGGCAGCATTTCATTTAGTGCTGTGTGCCCCCTTCCCCCCCTCACTAGCTAACAACAGCTATTATTGGCTTGTACATTTACTTAGACACAGACACACACATATATGTCTACAAACATACATGTTTGGTGCCGTCCAGTCGGTTCTGACTCACAGCTGCCTTGGTGCTCACCAGAAGGACACATGGCCTGGTCTTGCGCCGGCCTCACCATCCTTCTTATGTTTGAGCCCATCGAGGCAGCCGCAGTGTCCATCTGGCTTGTCAAAGGTCGTCCTCTGTCGCTGCCCCTCCACCAAGCACGGTGCCCTTCTCCAGGGGCTGGTCGCTCCCGACAACACGCACAAAGTCCGTGAGACCAGTCTCGCCGTCCTGCCTCTGAGGGCACTCAGGCTGTGCTTCTTCCAAGACAGATCTGTTGGTGATCTGGGGGCCCATGCTAGTTTTAATATCTTCCCCAACACCATCGTTCGAAGGCCTCTTTGGTCTTCCTCATTCAGTGTCCAGCTTTCCCACGCACACGCACGTGCACACAAGGCTTCAAACTTCCTGGGAATTTCCCACCATCTCGTTCATGCTGGGAATCTTGCGGTCCAGAAGTGTAGGCTACCCTTCTCTGCGCCCCCTCCCTCCCATGTGTGCTCCTTGGCCGCCAGCTTGCTCATGCACCCAACTGCACCCCCCACGGTGCCCGTGCCTTGCTCCCACTTGTTTTGGAGGGACAGGAGTGTGAGTGGGTGGGCGCTCAGTGGGTAGGAGCCCAGGCCTTTGGGCTCCAGAATGCTGTAGACCCAATGGTTTGGACGACACCAACTGGACTGTGTGTCCCCCTGCCTCTTGACCACAGCGCTGCCCAGGAACACACCTCTCCTGGCACAGAGCCCCCACCCTCAGCAACAGCTCTCTGAGACAGAGAAGCATCGTGTGACGACTTCTGGCCTGGCTGTTAACAGCGATGTGATCGCTCTACACGCTCCCTGCCCCCCGTCAGACTGTAGGTGGGGTTGCCAGGGGCCATCGAGCAGGTTTGGGCCCCATGCACAGAACCCAACCTTGCCTGGTCCAGCGTCACCTTCACCATTGTTCCCGTGTCCCCTGCTGCAGCCACTGTGTCCGCCCGTCTCCTCGAGGGATTATAAGCTGTAGAGTCCACCACTACCTGGCTCAGAGCCGGTCCACAAGGCAAGGTACCGGAATCTTCCTTGGGATGAACTGGTCTTGGGACTGTGTCCTCACAGCCCACAAAGCAGGTGGCATTGAGTTTATTCGGGACGGCCCGTGAGGATGAGGTGGGGTCACTGTGTAAGCTACTCCGAGCCTGACAGGCACAGCTGCGGTGAAATCCACAATCCACCCGAGCTGCCACTTTAGTGACCACCTGGCCAGTGTGGCCCTGCAGTGACATCATAAATACCCAAAGGCCCCTTGGCAGACAAAAGACTCCCCCATCCTGCTTTAGGTTAATGACATTCCCCACAGGGACAGACGGCAATAGACCCCTGGATCCATTCCATTGAAAGCACACACACATAAGAACACTTTGTTCTACTAACACGGCACTTTATGACGCTCACCTTCCCCACACGATCGATCGCTGAAGACAAAGTGGGTGCATAAGCAAATGTGGTGAAGAAAGCGGATGGTGCCCAGCTATCAAAAGATATAGCAACTAGGGTCTTCAAGGCTCGAAGGTAAACAAGCAGCCATCTAGCTCAGAAGCAGCAAAGCCCACTTGGAAGAAGCACACCAGCCTGTGCGATCATGAGGTGACAATGGGATCAGGAATCAGGCATCAAAGACCCAGAACAAAACCAACCAACCAAAACCACATCAATGGGAGTGAGGAGGGGGGGGGGCAGAGTGGAGACCGAACGCCCATCAGCAGTCAATTGGACCCCGCCCCCCTCAGAACAGCCACAGGAAGGAGAAGAGCCAGTCAGGGTGCAGTGCAGCACTGACAAAACACACAACCTTCCTCTAGTTCTTCAATGCGCACCCCCCCCACACACACTACCATGACCCCAATTCTAGCTTATAAATCTGGCTAGACCAGAACATGTACACTGGTACAGCTAAGAGCTCCCAACACAGGGAATCCAGAACAGATAAACCCCTCAGGACTAATAATGGGTGCAGCGATACTAGGAGGGTAAGGGTAGGGGGCGGGTAATGGGGAACTGATCACAGTGATTGATGTATGGCCCCCGTCCGAGGGGGACAGACAGCAGAAAAGTGGGTGAAATAAGACAGCAGTTGGTGTAAGACATGAAAAAAAAAGAAAGAATAATATATAAATTATCAAGGGGGCGTGGGGGAGGGAAGGGGGAAATGAGGAGCTGCCAGAGACTCAAGTAGAAAGAAAATGTTTTGAAAAAGATGATGACAACATATATAAAGGTGTATTTGACAAAATGGATCTATATATGGATTGTGATAAGAGCTGTGAAGCCCCCAATAAAATGAAATTTAAATGAAAAAAAAGCACACACATGCACACGTGTATGCACACACGCACACACACACATGTTGCCTGCAGATTGACGCCCCCTCCCAGGGGACCCCACGTGTGTCAGAGGAGCACGGGGGCTGCTTCCCACGGCTGCGTTGTCTCAGCAGGAGACCCAGGCCTGCTTCTGAGGCCCCTCTGGGCAGAGTGGACTGTCAACCTCTCAGTGAGTGGCATTTGTACCACCCCACGGAGTCCGGGCCCACTTGGCTTATTTCTAAAACCCAGAGAGAGAAGCGTTCACAGCCTCTACAGAGGGCCCTCTGATCACTGCCCAGTCCTTCCACGTCAGAGAGCCCAACCCGGCGGCGGCAGCACCGGGCGTGGGGAAGGCGAGAGACCAGGTGTTTACTCTGGACAGAGTAGCCTGGGGCCGGGGGCCGGGGTGACCCTTACCCGGCAGTCTCTCTGAAGCGTCTTCATCAGGGCGTTATACGTCTCGGTGTCAAAGTACAGCCCCTCCTGCATGTCTTGCAGGAAATCCAGGTCCTTGAAGGTGGGGCTGGCCTTCTCCCGCTCCTTGCGGGAGGCCCTCCGCTTGTAGGTGGAGCCCTTCAGGTCGTAGGTGAAGTGCATCTTCATGGCGCGGGGCAAGACGTTGTTCATGACCACGATCCTGATGTTGGTGCCGCCCGAGTGCATGCAGTAGAGCCCGTAGAACTTGGGCAACAGGGTCCGTGGGTTCTGGTTCAGATTCTGAAAACAGGGAGCGCGGAGAGAGAGGGTTAGAGCCCCCCATCTTCACGACATGCCGGCACGCTCATTCAACAGAGGGGTGCTGTGGGCACCTTCAGAAAGGGTCGCTGCTAAAGGGAGGCGGCTTCGGCCTGACTCCCTCAGTCGTCTTGTTGGGACAGGGATGGCGCCACTCTATGTTCAGGGCATGAAAAGTGGCCATTCTGAAAATGGACATCATTCCCAAATTCACCGCAATAAAAATGGGCAAAGGTGCGCCCCACCGGTGCGGTGCCCGCCTGCTAACTAGAAGTTTGGTGGTTCGAACCCACCAGCCACTCTGGGGAGAAAGAGACCATCAGCTCCCAGGAAGATGCACAGCCTTGGGGACTCTGTGGGGTAGTTCTGCTCCGTCCTACAAGCCCGCTCGGAGTCGGGATCCACTCCAGGGGTGAAAGGGGGCGGAGACTTGATTGGTCGAGGCTGCTCTGAGCCAGAGTGGGCTGGGCAGGCTTGAACCGCTGCGGACAGGTGGTGACTCACCATGTAGTACCCAGGCAACAGTTTCTGCAGGAACTCGGCTTCCTTGTGCTGAAGGGTCTTGATGATGAATTCGTCGTCACTGGTCACGAAGAACAGGGACCCGCTGGCCCCGGGGTTCGACAGCTCAATGAGGGGCTCACTGCAGATGGAGTACTGCGAGGGCACAGGGAGAATGCTGGGGTCCCGCCTTCCGCCCCCGCCCGCCTCTGCAGTCGCTTCCTTCTCAAAAGGATGGTCCACTGGGTTTTCAGGGGAAGTTTACAGGGCAGTCAGGTTCCTGCCTACATTCACTACATCTTAAACGGGACAAGGATCAGACACCTACAGAGACCTATCACCCGGATGAGGTCACAATGGGCTCCGAGGCTTGCTGAGGTACGGAGGTTTCTAAAGGGCATGGAGGTCAAAGACAAGGTCACAAAAACATGGTTGGTGGCAGATCAGCCAGGCAGTCCCCCCTGTAACTAGAGGAGTGAATCCTAGATATAGGTGGGACTCCTGACATGGGACCAGGCCACACCCGGAACTTGAACTTACATCGTTAGAAGAACTTACAATATTGGCCCAGGGGCTTCCCAGTGGCAGTCAGGACATGGTACACAGGAACCCAGTAAGGTGATCTCCATCAAGGACACCCCCCAGGTACCCCCCCTAATGGAGATGGCCTCTCCCTGGGTTGGTCAAAGGGGTGGAGGTGATTCACCCTCCAATGTACTCTGTGACTGGGGGCAGACCGTTCACCTCCCTGGTCAATGGTCAGAGGGCATTTAATGGAGGCTCCATCCCGGTGGGGACTCTGCACATGGATTTTGGGTTTTCATGATCATGCATCGCCTTCTGCAAACCAGATGCTCAGATTTAAGCTCTAGTGCAATTCCCTCTTCTGATCATGGATTTTATGATTAACAATCCTTGGATCACACCTGCTGGTGTGCTACTACTGTGTAAATGTAGCTGACACTTCATTTGGATGGCTGCTTACTTTAAGACAAGCCTTTAAGACCCTAGACCAGGGGTTCTCAACCTTCCTTATGCCGCGACCCTTCAATACAGTTCCTCATGTTGTGGTGACCCTCCCAACCTTAAAATTATTTTTGTTGCTACTTCATAACTGTAATTGTGCTACTGTTATGAATTGGGTGATCCCTGTGAAAGGGTTGTTCGACCCCCAAAGGGGTCACAACCCACAGGTTGAGAATCACTGTTCCTTCTGATAGCTGGACAACGGTGCAGTTCTTCATAAGGTGCTAACCTTCTCACCCACCCCTGTCTGCGTGTTTCCCTCCAGCCATGCGGTCGCCCTACCCCTGCACCCTCTTATCTTTGTCCAGCAGTCAGTGTTGACCAGTTGGTTTCTTAGATAGGTTTTTCTTCTTGAATACTCTCTATTTTACGAGCCAATCTGTAACACCATCAGAAGGTGCCCATCATGTTGCTATGGTTCCTCCGTTCCACACTTCTCTTCTTGCAGGGTCCATCTACTGTGGTCCAGATGCGGTATCCGAATGGCCATTACCAATAAATAGCAGGGCACCCTCTCGTTCTTCTGGTCTCAGGGAAGAGGAGGGCAGGGTTCTTGTAGCTAGCCTGGCTTCTGAGCTGTCTTGCTGATCAGCACTGAAGCTCAGGGCTGTCTTACAGGGTTCCTGCCAGTTAGCATGATTTGGTGGCCGTGGGGTTTGTCCTTCTGTCCTGTAGGGTTTCCATGAGTTAGCACCAACTTGATGGTGATGGGAGGAGGGAGGAGCCCTGGTTAGCATCATGATTATGTTCTCAGCAGCTAATCTAAAGGCTGGCAATGAGACCTACCAGCCGCTCCATAGGAGGTAGATGTGGCAGTCTGCTTCCATAACAATGAACCAGCCAGCCAACCAACCAGCTAGCCAGCCAACCAACTAACCAACCAACCAGCCAATCAGCCAGCCAACCAGCCAACTCTAAACCCACTCTCATTGAGTTAATTCCAACTCATAGAAATCCTATATAGGGTTTTCTCTACGAGAGCAGGAAGCCTCGTTTGTCTCGCTTTGAGTAGCTGGTAGATCACAGCCTAGGAAACTCTGCCTGTGGGGTCTGACTCGGTGGTGGTGGTGGTGGTGGTGGTGGTGTTGAAGGGGGGCGGGGCAATGGGTGGCTTTGTCACATAAACAAATCACCACCCTAATTTGTTTCTAAATTCCGGGCAGCTTGTGTGTTTCTTCAGCTGTTGGTAAAGTATTTTATACACAACAGGTGGCTGAGTCCCCAGCGGCAGATTCCTGTGTCTGGTTTACAGGGAAGACAAGTTTGAGGAAGATTTGTTCTCAGAAGCCATCAGCCTAAAGCTCCTGCTCAGAGAGTTGGATTCTGGGAAGACAGGCTGCGGCGTGAGCACTCTTCAGGAAACCTGCCCAAGCCACGTGAGAAGTTGTGCAGAAAAGAGCCTTCCCTAAAGGAAGGCAATGTGAGGTCAGGCCGCGTGACAGATGTCCCGGACATCCCAGCCTACAGGACAGAGAGAGACTCCGGGGGAGAAGGGTTGGAATGGAGCAGCTGCCTGGTCCAGTGGTCAGTGAGATGGAATGCAAGCCTCTGGAGACACCTACGCTGGAGAGCAGGTCCAGGAGGCCCAGCAGAGGATCCAGCAACATCTAATGTGGGCAGAAGATGCGGGGCGGGTTTCAGTAATGCAATGCCACCCCCGCCCTCCGTGTGTTCTCCAAACACTAGTTGCCTGGGGTGGGGTGGTGATGGTTACCACCCTCAGTTATTATAGAATCTCCATGGCATCAAATCCACACACACTCACACACACACCTGCTGCAAGAGTCCCCCTCATGGTGTCCAAGAACAAAGCCGGCACTTTACGGGCTGAGCTAGTCCCGCGCCAAGCCATGAATCACACAGACTGAAGAGGAGCGGATGCCTTCAAAGGAGGGGCTGCAAAGACTGCTGGATACACCCCGCTGTCCGAAGAATGGGCATCTCTGCCTTGGACGGGGTGTGGCCAGAATGTTCCTTCGAAGGGGATGGCAACACCCCGTGGCACACACTTGTGAAGTGACCGTGTCAGCAGGAGGGCTGGGTCCCTGGGTCCCTGGGTCCCTGGGTCCCGTGTCAGCAGGAGGGCTGGGTGCCTGGGTCCCTGGGTCCCTGGGTCCCGTGTCAGCAGGAGGGCTGGGTCCCTGGGTCCCTGGGTCCCTGGGTCCCGTGTCAGCAGGAGGGCTGGGTGCCTGGGTCCCTGTGTCCCTGGGTCCCGTGTCAGCAGGAGGGCTGGGTGCCTGGGTCCCTG